AAATCTTTTTACACGGGACCATACGTCACTAAGTAATGGAAACAATGAATAATTCATTGCTGCAACCGTTTAGAATATTTCATGGGGCCATATATGTGGCTGCCTGCCAGAGGCAATTTACAGCCTATAACTAAAGTCGTTGTACTTTTTACATGGGGCCATACGTGGCTATTAACAAGCGAAAACGCAGTCTATTGCTGCCAACATTTAAGTTTTTACAGGGATCTTACGTGGCTTAAGTAACCATATGTGGCTTATTAATAGAAGCAATGCACAGGTCATTGCTGCAAACATTTAAAATATTTTATGGGGCCATAAATTATGTGGCTACCTGTCAGAGGCAATTTACAGCCTATACTTATTAAAGTCATTTCACTTTTTACATGGGGCTATTCACAAGCGAAAAGACTGTCCATTACTTCTAAAATTTACGTTTTACACGGGGCCATATGTGGCTAAGTAATAGCGAGCTCGATAGTGTAGTATCAAAGTCAACTAATCATGGGATAATTAGCCGAGAGCATTTTTGGCAGCCTTTTAAAGATAAAAGGCACTTAGAGCGAGCTTTACGGTAACGCGAGTACCTGCTAAGTGATAGTTTCGAAAACTTTCGTCCGAAGTACCGAATGGACATATCGCAACTTTTCGAATTACAAGATAACGAGAAAAGCCTATGTACTCTGATTCCCGGCATCTAACAAGTAGCGAAAGGGGAAGGAACTCCAGACTATGTACTCTGATTGGAAACGAAAGCGTTGACTGATGTCCTGCGCACTTATATAGGAACCATAATAGAAAGGGGGAACCAGAATAAACGGAAGCTGTTTATAAAACACCGAATGACAATTTTAAAACGGAAAATGTAAAATAAAATTGAACAATTATTTTAAACTTCCTAATTGTTAAAGAAAATCGAGCTCGCATTGAGGCTTTGCCTTTTTCATATAAGAAACAATGAAAAGTTCATTGTTGCAACCGTTTAGAACATTTCATGGGGCCATATGTTTCTGCCTGCCTGAGGCAATTTACAGCCTTTGATTAAGTCATTTCAGTTTTTACATGGGGTCATACGTGGCTATTCACAAGCGAATAAACAGTCTATTACTGCCGACATTTAAGTTTTTTTACACGCGGCAATACGTGGCTAAGTAATAGAAACAATGCACAGTTCATTGCTGCATGAACTTAAACGTGCTTATGCTTATATTCCTAAGCTGCTTTACTTTTGTTAATACATATGCTATTGTTCGACGGAAAATAGCTCATCAGCAAGTGTTTAAATGTATCCGACGTAAAATAAATATTTTCTTATATCTTGCAACCGTTTAGAAAATTTCATGGGGCCATATGTGGCTGCCTGCAATTTACAGCCTATAACTAAAGTCATTTCACTTTTAAAATGGGGTCATACGTGGCTAAGTAAAAGATACAATGGACAGTTCATTGCTGCAACCGTTTAGAATATTTCATGGGGCCATATATTTGGCTGCCTGCCAGCGGTAATTAACAGCCTACAACTAAAGTCATTGCACTTTTAACATGAGACCATATGTGGCGTTTCACAAGCGAAAAGATAATCTATTACTGCCGACATTTAAGATTTTTAAAACGGGGGCAGACGTGGCAAACTAACAGAAACAATACAAAGTTCATTTCTCCAACCGTTTAGAATATTTCATGGGGCCATACGTGGCTACCTGCAAGAGACAATATTCAGCCTTTATCTTCAGTCATTTCAGTTTTTTTACATGGGGCCACACGTGCCTATCCACAAGCGGATAGACAGTCTATTATTGCCGACATATTAAGTTTTTTACACGGGGCCATAAAAGTGGCTAAGGAATAATACAATGCACAATTCATTGTTGCAACCTTTTAGAATTTTTTATGAGGCCATATGTGGCTTTTTAGGAGACACGGTACACTTGCTAAGGGGGTAAATATCTGGTACTTTCCAAAGGGTTGTGCACCCATTTATATGGGACAAATAAACAAGCTCGGCCATTAACCATTTAAGAATTTTCATGAGGCCATACGTGGCTACCTGCAATAGACAATATACAGTCACATCAGCTTTCACACATAACCATACTATGATTATTGAAGACATTTAAAACTTAAAGAATATAATGATATGATAACATTAATTATTATAGTCCAGACGTTAGCCAATTTTATTTTCAATGTGCTATATAATTAAGCAATATTAAGCAATACGATTATGATAATAAGTCTCCCTCGACAACCTTTCAAACATTTACATTTGGCTAATTGTCGTTATGGTCACTATATATATTTTTTTTACAGATTTTGTTCTATTTGATAGAGTTCTACAATATTTTTAAACATGCTGATAGGCGGACCGAGGAAGAAAATAAACTTACAGATTTAGTGTCCTTGTACCTAGCGATTAATGGCAGTACCTCTAGACGCTTGCAGAAATTATGATCACAAAATAGACAAATATCGTGTTTTTGTTTTTTTTCCCGCTATTTTTACATTTTTCATTCATTGTCAATATCATACATAAATCGGTGTGAAAAGATGAATAAGACCTATTAAAGTTCATTCCGTTGGATTGGGATTTTAGCATTTTATGATTCAAGCGCCTTGCCCGGTATATACCGGAATACGGTATTTAGTGTGGTGCTCCGTCTCACTCGGACAGTTGTCAATGTAAACAAATTTTTAAAACTTACAAAACAAGATAACAAAAAATGAATTTGAGAAAATGTTGTTTTATTGATTTTAATATTGATAAATGCTCTTTATATTTCTTTGAGAGAATATAGTAGTGCCTGAATTATTTTAATTTATAAACTTGTGTGCTTGAAAAAAACACACCGTCAATAGACCTGTAATCATTCTAAGAATTTCTGAGGGTCATGTTTTGTCTTGGGTAGAGGGTAGAGTAATGTATTGTTGTTTTTTTATTCTTGGGATAATAAATCCAATGTCAAGCTTTGTTAAATCAATTAAAATTCAAAATTTCGTTCAGTTTTGAGAATTTGTAGAATTGGATAAATACTAGCCCAACAAATTGTGCGCTTTAGGGCTTTTTTTATATATACGATGATGACAGACATCTATGAAATATCAGATTATAAAATCGGTCTGTCTTGCCGTCGAAAAATTGAGACTTGATAAATACTGTCCAAGCACAAGGATTTATCGTATAAGTACCTAATCTCACACCCAACCTATTCTCAAACCCTTCATTCATGTGTAGCTTAAGGTCTTCAGCATACCCGTTTATATACTATGACATGACGTGAACTTTAATGCCGCATCAGATGAAGAACAAAAATGTTAAAAAGCGGCTTATAAAGTTTTGGAAGCCAGAACTAATTCATGTGCTGTTATTTTTTTACTAGAAGTGACTATGATGTCCTGAACATGTGTGCATAAAAGCTTAGTTTCTGACAGACATGTGTGCTGATGTCAAATGAAAACAGTGCATAGTAACAAATATTTACATAACATATTTTATAACTAAGCGTAATTTCATACAAATTGCTATTACCTTTGTAAGTCCCATAAATACACCATTAACTATTTGTGAAAACGATTATATTATAGACAAAAATAACTTAAAGCAGGTACCTGCATCGTGTAGGGTACTTAATTGTCATGTGATAGTCATATAACAATCACTTCATTGGCTAAACTAAACAGTAGAATTTTAGAGATACTTGAAGGGGTTTGAGATTAGGTTCTTTATTTTAAGAGGCCATGTCAGTTTTAAAACAGAGGGTTGTGCTTTTCCAAAACAGAAATAAAGCTTTTTTAATTGTTGAAATTCAGTCAAATTTTACAGAAATGTTACATAAAGATTAAAAAGTGTACATATGTAACAATTTTTATAAAGATATATTTTATAAACACTAAAAGACCTCTTGAATGCTTAGGGGTTTGAGAACTGGTTAGTCCACAATAATGCTATGTGTTTTGTATTAAATATACATCATGAATCTGTTTTAAAATTTTATGCTATAATAGCAGTAAAACATTTTTCACTATAACTTTGTCATTTCTTAAGGTATCAACTTCATACTTCAAATATATATTTCTTATCATTACACACATGTTGTGTGACAAGATTCATAACTCCAGCTTACTATTTCTAGAATTATTCCCCTTGATCTTGGAATTTAGGTTAACAATGATAATTTTTTACTATAACTTAATACATAATTATACATAATTGATTTTTCTTTCATAGTTTTGTCATCCTTACTGCATCCAGTATTTTATTAGTGGAGCATCGATGTCTCCAGAGTGTGACAGCTCTTGTTTTAAAGGTTTAAACTTGAAACAAAATCATGTCTTTGGGTTTGTAAAGTCACTTCTTAAAACTCATTTATCTGACAGGGATTTTTGTGGAATATGTGGTTAACCTAGGAAATTTCTTGCAATATCAGCATTCAACACTGCTACAGGTATACAATGACACTCAAATGTCTTTTGGATCATATTTAAAGTTCAATTTTATCCTTTTGTTTCATACATTATCCGGGCTCTTGTTTTTCCACTATTTTTACTATATTTTACAAGCTATGTATATTATTGTATAAGTGACTGCTGCCTCTAAGAGGCCCAGCATTTTCATTTAACTGTTCAAATTGTTCCATTACGTTTTGTGATAGGTCGAGCATCGGTTCTTGTTTGGTTGACAATTAAGTTCACAGACGTTATAAAAAATACCGCAATGGAACTATACTTCGTAAGTGAAAAAGAACTATAATTTTCTCTCACCAGATTCTTTTTAACCTTGCACTGGCGTATCTACAGAACGGAGAAGTCCAAAAGTTCCGAATGATGTTGACGGAAGCTACCCATAATGCCGATAGTTATCAGCGGAACCAAATCTCGGACACATTGAAATTATTCGAGGTAATAATAATATACATATTGTATTTAGTGTTTACCCTACGTGTGAGAGCATATAACTAGAATCAAAATAAAGGGGGATATTGAAATCATAAAGGGGGATATTAAAGGTACTCCACTGAGGTTTAAAAGCCTAAAAACATAACATTTGAATTTCTTAAATAAATGAGCTGTGGCACTTTAAACAAAAATATATGCAAAGATAGTTAAGAAACATACTTTGAAATAAATTGAAAATTGTATTTTTATGCTTTTCTTAGCCCATTTTGAGTGAAAAGCGTTTAAACGCTTTTCATTTTGAGTCATTTTTTCACAATTTGAATAATTATTCTGGAAAAACGAATGATCTGAAATTTTGCACAAAGATTAGTGGTATAAAGTTAATAAACCTACATCAAATAGTACATTTATCTGTAAAAAATATTTTCAGTCCTATCATGTCAAAAAAAAATCAAAAACCTCAGTGGAGTCCTTTTAAAATAAGAGTGTGTATCCGTCTGTCTGTCTGTACGAGTCAACCTCAATGTTTTATAAATAAGCTTCATTCTGTCCATTGTCTTAGTTACAAGAAGAAAAGAGGACATTTTCGCTGGTTTATGTGGAAAATTGTTGATGGTGTTAAAGTCTAGTAAAACGGAAGTTGGTGTAGATTAAAAATGTGGGCCAATAAGCATGACCCCTCCGGCATTGGCCTTGATGGTTGATCTTTTTGTTAAGATTCATTTTATATATATAAAAAAAATTATCATATATATTACAGTGTAATTTACTTACTTATGATTTCGTGTTTTCTACAAAATTCAAACTTCCAAAGAGAAAAGTTGACCGGTCGCTTGCAAACTTACAAACATTCATTTACATTTTGGTAATCACAATCATTGGTGAATTTCTGAATTATGGCCTGATAGAGATCAATTACAGCAACACGGCTATTATTCACAGGCCGAAAAGTTACAATTGTTTTGAGATAATGAGACAATTGTTTTGAGATAATGAGTTGGGTGTTTCAATGAATTTGTCTAAATTGGATTAGCAACACATTGAATTTGGAACAGTCTGTCCGAGATTAAAATGTTTCAGTATTAGACTAGAAATAAAAAACAAGAGGGCCATGATGGCCCTTCAGAGGTCGCTCACCTGTATATAGACCCCAGGAGCTGGGCCAGTTTAAACCCCAGGGCTTTTATTTGAACAGACTCGGAAAAGTCACCCATTAGAAGATGTTTCACAATGTTAAGTTTTTACTACACACAAATAATGAAAAACAACGATCTCCCCCCCCCCTCATCGGCAGGGCCAATTTTAACCCAGGGGCTTTTATTTGAACAAACTTGGTAGACACCCATAAGAAGATGCTTCATGCTAAACATCTTAGCTCTAACTCATTGTGTTTTTTAAAAGAAGATTTTTAAGTTTTTACTATACACATATAGTTAAAAACAATTACACCCCTGGGGCGGGGCCAGTTTTGACCCCAGGGCTTTTATCTGAACAAAATTTGTAGACACTTACTAGAAGATGTTTCATGCTTGATATCTAAACTCTACCTATTTGGGTTTTTTTTCAAAGAAGATTTTTAAGTTCCTGCATGAATGTTCATATTTGCATGTATTTATACTGGTGACAAAGGTAAATTGATCATAGCAGGATGAAGGGTTAAGATAAAACATTATTTGAGTCACGCCATGACAAAACCAACATAATGGGTTTGCGACCAGCATGGATCCAGACCAGCCTGCGCATCCACACAGTCTGATCATTATCCATGCTATGCGCTTACAAACCCTATAACAAGTAGAGAAACTGATAACGAACAGCATGGATCCTGATCAGACTGCGCGGGCTGGTCTGGATCCATGCTGGTCGCAAACCCATTATTAGCTCGACTTTTCTATGAAAAGGGGAGCTATCCTACTCGCCCCGGCGTCGGCGTCGGCGTTGGCGTCACACCTTGGTTAAGTTTTTCGTACCACCCCACTTTATTTCAGAAGTATTACAAGTATGGCTTTGAAACTTACCATACTTGTTCACCATCATAACCTCCATCTACAGACAAGAGTACATAACTCTGTCAAGGTTTTTGACAGAATTATGGCCCTTTTTTGACTTAGAAAGTGTATTGAGCTTGGTTAAGTTTTTTGTACCACCTCACTTTATTTCAAAACCATTGGAGGTATTGCTTTGAAACTGACCATACTTGTTTACCATCACGACCTTCATCAACAGACAAGAGGACATAACTCTGTCAAGGTTTTTGACAGAATTATGCCCCTTTTTGACTTAGAAAATACATTGAATATGGGTAAAATCCACTTATTGCCTTAACCCTTTGAGATATTGCTTTGAAACTTTTAATGCTATTTCACATCATTACCCCCATCTGTACGCAAGAGAAGGTAACTCTGTCAAGGATTTGTTTTAAAAATTAAGGCCTTTTATCGACTTAGAATCTTGGTTAAGTTTTTAGTACCAGTCCACTTTTTGACTGAACTGTTTGAGATATTAATTTGAAAGTTGGAATACTTGTTTACAATCATGATTCCCAAACATGTCCAGGAGAAGGTAATTCTGTCAAAGATTTTATTTGAATTATGGCCCTTAACTGTCAATGTTTTGTATTATAGGCAAGCACTAAAAAACTTAAAAAATCTAAAAAAATTCATTCCTATCCACTTGTTCACTTTACCATAAAAGGCTCAACTCAGTTTTTTTTTCTTTCTTACCAGCCCTCTTTTGACTTAAACATTTCAAACTTTGCTGCAGTGTTCAAGGGTATCACACAATTCAGTAAAATAATTCTTCACTAAATATCTTAATGCTCATGGCCATTGTTCACTTTAAAAATACAGAGATTCTTGTATTGCCTTTTACTGCAAAAACTTTTTTTATTGGCAAGCAATAAAAAAGTCGAGCGCGCTGTCTTACGGACAGCTCTTGTGTTGGTTATGTCATAACGCGGCTCATTTCATCATATATTACTACAGGAGAATAAAGTGTCAGCTATCCAACCGGTTCAGCTTAACACGGACGCCATCTTTGTTCCACCGAAAGAAATCACTACAAATCTCGGACACCGGAAGTCCTCCAAGCGTTCAATGGTTGTGTTTGCATCAGACGAGAAAAACAACACCCCATCTTACAAGTGTGCAGAAAGGGTCAGTCAATTATTTGTATCTTCTTTGTGTACACCAGAAAAACCTTAAAAAATTAGAATATACAAACAATACAATTGCAGTAGCAATGATAAAATGTTTTCAATCAGACTGTGTCTAAAAGACAGGGATGTCCCCTTTATATGTTAGAGTACCGCATAATATGAATAAAGATGACCAGACAAAATGTTGGTTTAGCATAAAGATTTTGCTAAAACGGCCTTTTAGTGTAAGAATATGGATGGCTGTTGATAAAAACTGTTTTAATATTCACAGTGCCTCGATTTATGAGTGACAGAGCAAAGATGTCTTAGTTTAGTCTGTCCTGCAGCATGATCGGGAAAATTAAAAGGTTTTTACATAAGAAACAATTACTTTGTCAAGTAGAGCACTGATTATCACATTTGTTACGATAACAGTGACTCATTATGCTCAACATTTTTGCTAACTTACCTCAAAATCCCTTGATGCTTGACATAGTTATGGACGGGACAAGATTTTCTGACCTTTGACCTGTAACTGTGATCTTAAACTTGGAGCTAGAGGTCAGGACCTTAGAGCCAGGAATCTAGGTCTTTTGCACGACACTCTCATGTTGCTTCACATTTATGCCAAATTATATCAAAATCCCATCATGCATGACAGAGTAATGGGCCGGACAAGATTTTCATATTACTGACCTTGACCTCTCAGAATGACCTTGACCTTGGAGCAAGGGTCTAAGTCTTGTGCATGACACATCATCAGGCTTAAAATTTCTGCCAAACTGTTTCCAAAACAAAGTTATGAACCAGACAAGATTTTTAAACTGCCTACCATTGACCTTATGCATGAGTTATGGACTGTACAAGTTTTTCTAACCGCAAACCTTTGACCTCTAAGTGTGACCTTGACCTTGGAGCAAATGCGCTTTACACACCATATTATCATTTGTGTCGAGGTATTTAACAAGAGACACCGCCGGGCAGGGGCAACGCTCGACGTGTTTCCTTTATCTAAAAGCAAACAAACAAATCTTTAAGAAGAAACTTAAAGAAATAAATAAGTTTTTCCTTTTTCGAATTTTGATAGGTCTGTCTAGTCACACTATTTTTTTGTCTAAGAATGAATCCTTTCCATAAATAAATGTCAAAGTTAAGAAACTATAATCAATATTCAATTATTTGACGGTCAAGGTCATTTAAAGGTCAATGTCATATCTAAATTATTCCACATGTCATTTTGGTCACAAGTGTTGTTTTGTCCACATATGAATCAAATACGTACATAAATAACACAATTTTGACAACTTAACAAAAATTAAATACTTTGACATTGACAGTCAAGGTCAAGTTCAACCTTTTAAAAATTCTTGTCCAAAATGTTGTTTTGTCCAAGTATGAAAGTAATCTAGCGATTAATTACAAAGTTACAGCAAATTATAACATTAATCAGTGAAAACAAAATAGTATGACCTTCAAGGTCAGGGTCATCCATTAGTCAAGGTCAATTTTAGTTTATTATACACGAAGGGTCTGGCCTAAAAGATGTTTTGTCTTAATATGAAGTAAATACATCTATAAGTAACAAAGTTATAACCAATTGCAGAAACAAACAAGATAATTTAATTAAATTGGCCTTGATAGTCAATGTCAATTAAGGTCAAGGTCACATCTAAATTGTTCAATCTGTTAGTTTAGTAGCAAGTCTTGTTTTGTTGAAGTTTAAATCAAATCTGTACATAAAAACAACAAAATTTTGACAATTTATCCAAAATTCAATTATTTGACCTTGGCCGTCAAGGTCATTTGAAGCTCAATTAGAAGGTTTTAAATGTTGTTTATTTAAAGTATGAATATAATCCATTATTAAATACCTAGTTTACGTCAATAGCAAAAATCAGTTATAATTTTTCCCTTAAAGGTCAAGGTTACAAAAGAGCCAAGGTCAATTTGAGATTAATATATATGAAGGTCTTATCCTAAAGAATGTCATGTTATAATATGAAGTCAATCCATTTATTAATAGCAAAGTTTTAGCCAGTTACAGCAAAACAAAAATGAAAATTTCAGTAATTTGACCTTCATGGTCACGATCATTTATAAGTGAAGGTCAAGGTATGTTTGATTAACTTGAAGGTCTATCTTAAAAAATAACTATGTTCAAGTTTGAAGATAATCCATTCAAAAATAAAGTTATAGCAAAATTCAGCAAAAAGCAAACAAAATTTAGACATTTGACCTTGAAGGACAATGTCATTAATGAATAAATGTCAAGGATAGTCTGATCTACTTGAAGGTCTTGTCCAAAGAGTTGTTGTGGCCAAGTATGAAGACAATAATCCAAGAACTTAAAAAGTTATTATCAACATACAAGTTTGCGAACGGCAACATGTCCATGACTGACAATACCTTTTCAAAAAAAATTAAGCTTGCATGGGCCGAACAAGAATCTTTCTAACTTTTAACTACTGACCTTTAACCTCTTTGTGTGACATTGACTTTTTAGCTTGGGATCTAAGTCTTTTTGATGACCCGGAGTCTCAAAATGGTAAACATTTTTACCACAATGCTTCAAACTCCCTTGATACATGACAGATTTATGGGCTGGAAAATGTTTTTTCTTAAACACACAGACGGACTAGGCCGACCGACAAACAGAGTTTAAATGATATACCCTCTAGAAATTATCAGGGCGGGGGACATAAAATTCACTTTGAGTGGTCAATAGAAATGTATGCGTTTCCCTTGTTAAGAAGATTAGCTTCTGGTTTGTGACTTTAGCTCTGTAAATGCAGTTTTCTTTGAATTCAAGAATTTCTGAAATAAAATGACTTTAGTCATGTTCATTATTAGGTGACTATTTCTATTTTAGGTTACAGAACTTCGCAAGACTATGATTCGCTCACGTGATGCACAAATAAAACGCGATGGCTCAGTAAAAGATAAGTTAATTAAAAAAATCAAGTCTACAGGAGATTTGAATATCTCATCTCATGTGAGAAAGAATTTGTCCGCAAGGAAACAACGCCATTCTACCGGAAGTGTAGGACCTGATTCGGATATTTCATACAAAACACTGAACGAGATAAAACAAAGTAAAATGACTCCACAAATGAATAATGACATAATATTTGAATCATCAGACCATTGTTCCGCAGACAGAAACTCCTCTTTAGAAAACTGTGAGGAATTAACACGAGAAAGTAAATTTAAACTATTCCATGATTTCGAGATTGATCATTTTGATACTGACACTGAGAATATACTGGTATCAAATCAGTTAATCAAAGACAATTGTCCGGAAGCAACACATTTTGATAAACAACTCGCAGGAAGCAGACGACGTTTTAAGGGTAAAGCTAAATCGATTGGCGATTTTAAAGTTACCAAGGGCAAGAATATAAAAAGAGAAACCAAATCTACAGGCGATTTAGAAAGGGCTAAAATGAAAACTTTGTTACCGCTAGAGAGGAAAAAGAAATCAAGAACTTCTTTTAAGAGACTTATCAAACTGAAATCTGACACAAGCGATCAAATGCAAAATGATAATACTGTAATGATGGAAGGCTGTAAAGATGAAGGTGACTTGTTGACGATGATGGTACCAGTGGACAATTCTGCAGATGAAAAGAAACAAACATCGGAAACTGCACCCGAAGTTAGAAAGGGTGATGACAACAATAATTTCAAAAGTAACGGTAAACAAGGGTCAAGATACTCACTGGGTTCTGTATTTGGAGACCGCTCTACAGTTGTTAGATATGCTCTAGCTGAAGCCTGTGACATCCTTACTGCTGCAGTCACTCCTACCATTGATCCATTTAAATTAAAACCTCCTGATTTTAAAGAAAGGAGACATACATCGAAGCAAAAAGATCGTAAAATGCAACAAAGTTCAAAAAAGAAACGAGCCCCTGACCCTCCCAAGTCTACCGTTTGTACGTCATTGTTGGCTGCCGGGCATATATTTACAGCTTTTGTAGATCTCAATTATAACAATGAAGCAGAAGATCCAAGCACACTCATTGAAAACTCTACAAATCTGACAGACGACGTTCATGATAAAACTTGCTCTACTAATACCAATAGAAAACATCCTGGAGATAAATCTGAGACAAAAACTACTGCACTTGAAGAGAGTACATGTAGTGCAGTGTTTGATACAGCGTTTGTTTTTCCATCCCTTTCAGAAACGGATATCATTCATGACATGAACAATAATGAAAAGTATTACGATATTGAAGACGCCTTTGCCAAAGAACCAGAAACGCCCGAGTATGTAAATACAAAACACTTTGTTGAGATCACTAATAATAGTACTAACCATACAGAAATGAGGACAGAAAATCACGAAATAAGCAAAAGAGGGGAACTATGTGATGAAAATGAAGAAAATGTTGAACATGGAAAGAATACGGTTACGATGAGGATGAAGAATATGTTTAAGACAAAAAGAGCAAAACAACCACCGCCTTCATATCCCCCACCACCTCTTAGACTAAACTCTGCGAAACATCGTAATTCTAAACAAGGAAAAGGAGACAAATTTTCACTGAATGGACTTGTGGGTAACTCTTTGTTGACTTCCGGTATCATGATTGGTGCAATAGTTCCGGTACATGAAAACGGCAAAACTGGCAATCTTTTAACAGCTCATGTCAATGAATTAAGTAATTTAATGGAAGCTGCCTGTGGAATTGAGAAAGAAAATTTAGATGATCACGCTTACGTGAATGTAAGTAAGCATTTAAAATATGAATCTATGAATACCAATAGTACAGGTGCGACAATTACCAAAACTGACGAGTCACTACTACTACAACAACAACAACAAGCGGAAGTTATCAACGAGACACTTCCTCTTTCTCCAAACATCCTTAGAGAGTTTGTGACTTCGAATGAGAAGATCCGACAAGCTTTTGGAGAGTTCATCCACAAGCAACGAAGCAACAAGTCTGCAGAAAATACCGGGATACTGTTGGAGGAAGAGAATACTGGCAATCCTAAACATGACTATGTTAATGTGTCAGAATTTTAGAGAGACAGAATTTGATAAAAAAAAGTGTTTAAACGCCTAAACAGACGACATGGAATCTAGTGTCATAATTCTAAAAGCATGAAATATTCATTATTTGTAATAGAAGAACTATTTTCTTTTCACCCTTTCTTTTCTTGCATCCTCTCAACACAAGTTTTAATAAGACTATTCAGTAGAGTTGTTGTATTAAATACTAAGTGTTAAAGATTCTGCATGTTGTGACCACACTAAGGGAAATTATATACAAGTACATAGTTATGCAAATAAAACAATTTTGAAACATCGAAGAATATGTAAAATATGTACTGCAAATATTTGTGCATATTATATGTTATCATTAAAATATATGCATTCATTTCTTATTGTTAAATTTGACTTAACTTTACAGAAAAATTTGACTTAACTTTACAGAAAATAAATTTTAATTACCTCCCTTTATTTGCATAAAATATTAAATTCGGTAATATCTTTATAAATAATTCTTTTTGGAACCTATAATATTGATAAATATTAATTTGAGCATCATATTTATGATTTAAAACAATGAAAAGATTGGGTTGCTGGATCTTTAAATATTTTCTGTTTACCCTTGTTTAAAAGATTGTAAGAATAAGTGAATAGCTATGTTGAGTGTGTAATTATTTCCTTGTGTATCTATAACATTTCCCTATCCTTCTTGTATGGTATTTATTTAAGCGAAAGTTTTCTTTCTACTTGTTCTTATTAAAGTATTTACTCTCTCTATATGAAGCATTAAAGTTGTACCAGTATTCTTAAGGATCTATGAGACATCACAGGACTGCTTACACAGGTGGAGGCATACCTCGGTCCAAAACAAATTATTATACGTATATAATTTTATATTTATTTTGATTCATGGTGAAATTAGTCAAAAAGGCAAATCAAAAGTCTAGGTTAGGTAGTTAAACAAGAACTACCAGCACCCCACTCCCCCGCCACACCCAACCAGTTTTCCCAGTGCTGGATTATAAGTAAACTACACACTGGTTTCCTAAATATCCACAGAGATCATTTGAATAAAATGCTGTTTTGACCTTATTTGACCTTATTACCTGAAAATGGGCGTGACAGGCAGAAGAAATAGATACCCCATACATCCGCTTTAGCAAGCACAACCAGGGAACTTACTAGAATTTTACATGTATATAACCTTCTGAAAGCTACTAGATAACATATTTTATCATATACTTATAAATGAAATATTGAGAAATATTGATGAAATAAAATGCGTACTTTCATTTTCCGTATTTTCACTGTAAAAATTTATTTTTCACTGCAGTGAAACATATTTTCCGTATTTTCACTGGTGTCTTGCCGGACTACTTCCTTTTAAATTCTACCAGTACACAAATTTAAGGGAAAGTTTTTCAAATTTTATCGCAAAAAAGAGAAAAATGTACATAATAAACAGAAAATTCAAGTTTTTTCTATTAATACATGATTTATTTTCATCTTGTGGCATGAAAATTACCATATTTCACTCGTGGCTACCGCCACTCATGAAATATTTATTTTCATACCACTCGATGAAAATAAATCATGTATTTATAGAAAAAACTTGAATATCCTCTATCTCTTGATGTAAGAATGATGGTGGGCTTTAAACTTCTAGAAATATTAATCTAAATAGCGCACTAAATATAAGATGAATAAAACAAGAAAAATACCACTAATTAAAAGGGGACTTATTTCTCCCTAAATTGCATTTTGACGCACAATACTAGACAATTATATTTTTCAGAGAAGTGTAAACAATAGTTATTACTTTTCAAAATAGAGAAAGTGAAACTGTTTAAATAATGCAAAGCTCATGATTTTCATCAATCAATATTATTTGAGTCAATTCATTTGACAGTGTTTTTGTGTGTGTGTATTTTTGCTAGCGATCGCCAGTCGCCTGACCCACGGACTTTAATTGGCAAAGTCCATGCCTGACCATTGTAATAAAACTAATGACCATATTTTACTAATTGTGTTCTTTGTTAACCTTTACCGTGGTAATTTCCGGGAAACCTATGATCAGTTGTGTTAACAATGTAACAGCCTCCGTGGTCGAGGGGTTAGAGTCCATGACTTCTAATCCAGTTACCTCTCTGGCTTGGGTTCGATCCCCGGGAGATGCTTTGGTAGTTTATCGCGGAGGAAAGTAGTCTAGTACTGGTGTAACTCTCCAGGAAGGATGGTTAGGAAACTACTCGCCTATATGACTTAAATACTGTTGGGAAAAGGCGTAAAATCAAACAAACAAACAAACATTTAGATATTTTTGTATGCGTATTGAAAAGAATAAATTATCAATTTAGTAAAAAGAAATCTAAAAATTATCATGTAATTAATAGAAAAGAAGAATCCCTAAAGAAATCCTAAAACTGAAAATGTTTATGGCTTTATTTGATTGGAGCCTATTCATGGACGTTACTGGTAAATGCAAAGTACCGTTCACGCCCCCTATCACCGGCTTAAGAAGAATTTAACTTGAAATGAAAAAATCTAAATATGGAAACATCCACACATGTATTTAAACGGTAATGAATGGTCCACCAAGGGGATCGGAGGTTAAGTGTTTGCTTGCAAAAGGAGTTTTCATGTATTTGCTAAAGTTTTGCTTCATGGAACTTATCTTAAAATAAATTATAATCTCAATAATCAATATATAACCGATGCTAAATACTTTCATACAAGTACAAAATTACACTAACTTCCATACTGATATGAGCCGCATCAGGACAAAACCAACCAAATGGGTTTGCGACCAGCATGGATCCAGACCAGTCTGCGTATCCGCGCAGTCTGATCCGGATCCATGCTGTTCGCTATTATTTTCTCTACTTGTAAAAGGGTTGGTAAGCGAACAGCATGGATCCTGATCAGACTGCGCAGATGCTGGTTTTGTCGTGACACGGCTCATATCACCTCTCATATTTGGTTAATTGCAGCTATCGTTCTAGTATTTCATTATTTTAAAGATAGAAACTGTTCACTTATTAAAGTGGAATAAAAGTGTATACATTTTCAGTCTAAACTGGCTAATTTTCAAGAAATTAATGATGACAATATTTCGAAATAGTTTCCCACATTCCCTTTCATTCTGGATTTAGCAGGCTGTAAAACACATAACAATATGAAATCAAGCAAGTTTTTGATCTTAATATAGTAACGCTTGAAAAGGGAGAGAATATTGGACTGTGAAGAACATCAATTCAGCTTTCCACCCCTTTCATCAATGTATAGTATCTATTTTAGCAACATTACATGTAAACTGATAAACAATTATGTTGTTTTTTTTTACTCTGCCACCATCTACCTCTATTTCACTGACTGACAATTTCTTGAATAGTTTTACAGTTATTCTCCTGACAACAAAACGAAACGGACCCTTCCTTTATACTCCCTTTCTCCCCCTCACCCTTTAACTTCCTGTCTTTTGGAAGTATGAAAAACAAGTACATGACATTCTTATAAAAATTTATCACCAACATTATAAAACAATAAGATTTAAACAAAATTGAACCGCATCATAACAAAACCAACAGAGTGCCTTTGCGACCAGCATGGATCAAGACCAGCCTGTGCATCTGTGCAGTCTGATCAGGATCCATGCTGTTCACTATCAGTTTCCCAACTTACAATAGGGTTGGTAAAGCGAACAGCATGGATCCTGATCAGACTGCAAGGATGCGCAATTATTTTGGTTTTGTCATGGTGCGGCTCAAATAGCATCAATTCATATTTTAAAAACAAATCTTATGTACAAAAAATACACCCCCCCCCCCCAAAAAAAAAGGGGAAACATGATGTAAATTTACATATTAAAATACTTATTTGACATGAATGACAATTCCAATCAATTTCACATCTTACAAATATGGCATATAACAGGAAATAACAATTAAAAATTTATCAAAATAAAAGATTTCTTTATAGCATACAACAACTAGCATGCCTATATTCATAACTGGAATTTAATAAAAAAATCTTTTATGGAAAAAATATCTGGTCATGACATTTAAATTTTTTAATTTTATTAAGAGTCGTGGTTTAGGATTTGGCCTTAAATAAATTAGCTTGGCTAAAAATGCTAAAAAAATTATCTATCAAATGGGGAAAAATTTTTTTGAGACATTTATCTGTTTTTCAGCCTCGATCGAGATCTCGACATGAACTTAGATCAAGTTGCTCCAACTTTGTCATCTTCCTGAGAACTTTCCTGTAAAAACAAAACCAGCACATGCTGTAACAACTGTCTACTATAAAGGGCACGCCTGTTGTTATAATGTATCTATATAATAAATGATATCATAATGTAGCTTTATCAGAAATGATATCATAATGTAGCTTTATCAGAAATGATATCATAATGTAGCTACATAATAGATGATGTCATAGTGTAGCTTTTTCATAAATGATGTCATAATGTATCTCTATCATAAATGATGTCATACTGTAGCTTTATCATAAATGATGTCATAATGTAGCTATATCATAAATGATATCATAATGTAGCTTTATCATAAATGATGTCATAATGTAGCTTTATCATAAATGATGTCATAATGTAACTTTATCATAAATGATATCATAATGTAGCTTTATCATAAATGATGTCATAATGTAACTTTATCATAAATGATGTCATAATGTAGGTATATCATAAATGATGTCATAGCGTAGCTTTATCATAAATGATGTCATAGAGTAGCTTTATCATAAATGATGTCATAATGTAGCTTTATCATAAATAATGTTGTAATGTAGCTAAATCATAAATGATGTCATACTATAGTTATGTGATCTACTTAAATAAGGGGTATTGTTTTTATGGACTAGTCTAAAATTAAAACAAGAGCTGTCCGTAAGACAGCGCGCTCGACTTTTTTAGTGCTTGCCTATAATACAAAACATTGACAGTTAAGGGCCATAATTCAAATAAAATCTTTGACAGAATTACCTTCTCCTGGACATGTTTGGGAATCATGATTGTAAACAAGTATTCCAACTTTCAAATTAATATCTCAAACAGTTCAGTCAAAAAGTGGACTGGTACTAAAAACTTAACCAAGATTCTAAGTCGATAAAAGGCCTTAATTTTTAAAACAAATCCTTGACAGAGTTACCTTCTCTTGCGTACAGATGGGGGTAATGATGTGAAATAGCATTAAAAGTTTCAAAGCAATATCTCAAAGGGTTAAGGCAATAAGTGGATTTTACCCATATTCAATGGTATTTTCTAAGTCAAAAAGGGGCATAATTCTGTCAAAAACCTTGACAGAGTTATGTCCTCTTGTCTGTTGATGAAGGTCGTGATGGTAAACAAGTATGGTCAGTTTCAAAGCAATACCTCCAATGGTTTTTGAAATAAAGTGAGGTGGTACAAAAAACTTAACCAAGATTCTAAGTCGATAAAAGGCCTTAATTTTTAAAACAAATCCTTGACAGAGTTACCTTCTCTTGCGTACAGATGGGGGTAATGATGTGAAATAGCATTAAAAGTTTCAAAGCAATATCTCAAAGGGTTAAGGCAATAAGTGGATTTTACCCATATTCAATGTATTTTCTAAGTCAAAAAGGGGCATAATTCTGTCAAAAACCTTGACAGAGTTATGTCCTCTTGTCTGTTGATGAAGGTCGTGATGGTAAACAAGTATGGTCAGTTTCAAAGCAATACCTCCAATGGTTTTGAAATAAAGTGAGGTGGTACAAAAAACTTAACCAAGCTCAATACACTTTCTAAGTCAAAAAAGGGCCATAATTCTGTCAAAAACCTTGACAGAGTTATGTACTCTTGTCTGTAGATGGAGGTTATGATGGTGAACAAGTATGGTAAGTTTCAAAGCCATACTTGTAATACTTCTGAAATAAAGTGGGGTGGTACGAAAAACTTAACCAAGGTGTGACGCCAACGCTAACGCCGACGCCGGGGCGAGTAGGATAGCTCCCCTTTTCATAGAAAAGTCGAGCTAAAAATGTGTATTATATACATTGTGTATATGTAATTTATTTACTTCAGTATGTCCATGTGGACATTTGTCCCTGCCAGATTAAGTTGTATAATCTTCAAATCACCATCATAATCACACATTTGGTTGAGGGCCACATCGAGGGTGTCTCGGACGAAATTATTCCAAGACAAGTCTAAATGTGTAAGGCTGTGTCGCCACTAGAAAACAAAATTTAACATAAACAAGAAGGCCATGATGGCCCTGAATCGCTCACCAATTACAACTGTTTTTTAAGTGTTAGAATGAACTTGCCCAAAGGCATGTCTAGCTCAACTTCAACTTGCCCCTGTAGTTATACAATTTTCCAATGCTGATTTTTTTTTTTGAATTTTTTTCTTCTAAGAATGCTACAGACAAAGCTTGCTGGCCACCCTTCAAGGGGCCAATTGAAATAATATGGGCAAATTGAAGTGTGACTATCACAAGGATGCTACAGACCAAATTTGAAGTAAATTTGCCCAGCAGTTTCAGAGTAAAAGATGAATGTTGATGCATGACGACAGATGCTGGTGCATCCCCTTTTGATACAAATAGCACACCTTGAACCTTTGGTTCTGGCGAGTATGAAAGTCATTCTGGAGGAAAAATAAACTTTTTTGTTTCTAAAGAAGTAATTATGTGCCTATATTATAATTCAATACTAATTTTACAGTCAACAGTTTATATCCTCACTGCGCATGCACAGGAGTTCAGCAATTCAATAAAACAGTAGTAACTAAGGAATTAGTATTTACAGAATGCATTAGGTACTAATATAATATGTTTTACTTTAACAGAGTATAAATCATATGTAACTAACCACATACACTAACACAACCTATGAGATTTAGTGATAAACATATAAATATCATAAACACCTTGCATAAAATATCATCTAGAACAGAGCACGAAGCCACTTGGCTTCTTGCCAGGTACAACTGTTCTACGTTACTAGCCTCTATATCTTTCAGGGTCGTCACCACACCGACTGTGTCACTTATACACCCACGTAAATCTATAAGTCTTAACTTTGTAGCATTCTTAACAAACCTGCACAATGGAAAAACGAATAAGACATGATTGTAAACAACAAACAAGAAATTGTAACAGAGTTACCCAACGTCCCCCGCCTCAGGGAAGTTTTATATGAAGCATAAAATTTTGTACTTCAAAAGATTGAGGTATGGATCTCAGGACTTTCAGTCCAAAATTATGATCAATGCTACAAAATTAATGCAACAATAAATTTATTAAAGAAATAAAATGAAACACAAGATTTAAAAATCTATCATAATTGTATCAATGTTATTATATTCATTTATATATAATATTTCTTCACAAATTTCATCATAATATACCTAAACTTGTAGAATGAACTTGCCCCATTTTGAATTTGGTACAGTCTATTTTTATATTAGAGGGGTGGGTGAAGGTTTAGGTTCCAAAAATGCTTAAATTGAGCAGAACAGCAAAATAGAATCCAGACTGACAACAAGCATTTTCAGGCTGGCCTGACTTTTAACTGATGTCTTAAACAATCAACTCATTAGTCACTAATCTTTAAATAATGTCCAACAACTATGGTTCTATAGTTTTGAACCATAAACTTGCTGAATTTCTGAAATGAACTTGTCCAGTTTCCGGTTTTCAGAGCTGTCTCTTTTTCTCAATTTTTTGGATGTTAAGGTTAAAAATTGAACACAGTCAGCCAAAAGAATAGAGCCTGGATAGACTGTATAGAAGAACAGTCTGGCCTGACTCTATAGTGGTGGCAAAGATTTACTAGTATAACTTTCAGTTCCATGCAGGCTGCCCCATACTATATACTGGTGGCAAAGACTTGCTACATTCAGTTCCTGCAGGGTGGAGGTTCAACATTTAAATATTTACCTTTGAACAAAATCACTGGTAACTATTCTGTTACTCTCAATGGTGGCTAAACTCAGTTCTTCCAAGTTTGGGAAACCAGGGGAATCTTGCTGCTGTAATAACAATAAAACATTGACAATGTTACATATCATGATATTTTCAATGTGTGTTTTAGGTCCTCAATGATCAACCCAGTAACATGTCAAAATGGAGATACTTATACACTAATATTTTCTTGCAATGTTCACATATGGATATTCAATATTTGAGAAGATTTAAAATTGATCGTTCAGCGCTATGACCTTTAATGACGATGTTTTGTGACTCTATCACTGAGATAAAATACTTGACGGTACCAACTTCTGCTGAGCAACACCCTCTAGGAGGTAAAAAATTTGGTTACTTCTCCTGAGATGTTTAATTTATTGTGGTCTTATTTTGTGAAGAACACACACTGTTTTTTGATAACAAGTTAATCCTTTACAGAGGACCACTCTGACGCAGTTGCTCTGTAACATATAACATTACAGTCAACTTTAAATTCTGTATATGTCAAATATTTCTAAGTACTTACTGTGGCTTGCACTCGACCTGCATTGTTTGAAGAGAAAAATCTCTTCAGTTTTGGACATTTCCTCTGGAACAACTCTATATCATACAACAGCCCACTCTGCCATTTAACATTGGACATATCTAAATGCTCTAGATTCGGACAATGCTCCTAGAAATAATAAAACATCCATACATCATATGTACAGTTGTGGGTATGACTCAAGCATAGTTGATGGCAACTGATGCATTTATTATAACCTTTGCTTAAGTTATACCTTTATTTTTGGTTGGGTTTTACATTGCACCAACATTGTAAAGGTCACATGACTACGCTCCAGCTATACTGGTGGAGGAAGACCTCAGGTGTCCGTCCATGCATTGCATACAGAAACCTGAGGAGAACCTTTAATGTTCTGTAAGCTAGCTGGTTAGCTTCCTTACATAAAATAATCCAAAGTCTCTGGAGGGACTCTAACCCACAGCAGTTTTGGGCAAGTGGTTTGAAGTCAACAACCTTAACCACTCAGTCATGAAGTCTGCAATGTATTTACCTAGAATGGTATCAAATCATAAATTCAAGTTTTGTAATAAATCACTGATGACATTTATGGATCTATCT